CAGCGAGAAACTCTTTTAACGTTTTTTTTTACCCATATATGTATGTTAAGCGATGGTTCCCGTTCATCCACATTATGTGCATTGCTAGAGATTCTCTCGTGAGAGCCGGCCCATGAAATAATGGGCCTAACTTCTTTATGAGTCTGGGCCAAGCCCCATCGCTCCTTAACAACAAGGATAAATTTAATAAACTAGAATTTTTTTTTTTTGGGGAAAAATTGAACTTTAAATTGATACATACGGTTAATCAATTAATCAACAGAACAGGTTTTTTTTTTGGTTGCACCGGAAAAGATTAATAAACTAAACAGTAAATCAACTAGAAAATTCATTGCACGTGTTATTTTCTTACAAAGTTTTCACTTCAGTGTGTGTTGAGTATTTGAAGGTTTTTTTTTTAAAGTAAATTTTCTTAAAAATTTAAAATCACAGCAGTATTACCTTATTCTTTTAAAAGTGTTAATGATAAGCGTCACTATTTTAATAATCAATGTTAGTTTTTGATGATAAGGGGTAATATAGTTACGATTTTGACTCTTGAGACAAATTTGTTTTAAAAAACTTTCAAATACCTATAACTCTTGAGTATAAACTTTTGAGATAAATTTATATTATACTCCTTATTTTTCACGTAATATTTAAAAAATTAAAAAAAAATGCACACGACTCGAAAAGCGTACAAGAAATTCTATAATCACGCAGCTTTAAATTTCTTTTTTTTTTCTTTTTGCCATCACCGAGTATTTAATTTTATGCGCATGTATCTGTTTTGACCCGGCGTCAAGTGGACAGAACAGACCATAAAGAATCAAAAAACGAATAATGAGATGGACAACTCCAGTGGATTCAAACCTCTTGACCCACACAGGCGTCGTCTTGGTCAATCATACTCAAATGGGGTTCAATTCAGCCATTGGTTTGATCAACAAGTTGGTCATAAATCATGCTAGGCCTAATTAAATTCTTGGCGTTTAAACTTGTGTGATTTGACAAATAAACTATTCTGTTTGTGGTGTCAACTGATATGAATCAACAACAATCTAGCGGCTTGACTTTTGTTTCAAGCATTTATGTGTTTATCATATAAATCACTATCTGATAACTTGTCAAAAAAAAAGTGTGTAAAATGTTTATTTGAATTATGTTTTACTATAATTAATTAAGAAAGCTCCTCTTCCCCACCTAAAATTGAAATCAATGATGTGATATGTATGCTTTTTTCACGACGAAAATGAAACGAAAGTGAATAAATGAGTAGTAATTAATACTGCACTGCTTAATGTCATAGATAACTAATTTGAGAATAATAAAAAAATTAGTTAAGTTAGTTATTTATCATAAATATATGTTAATCTCTCCAAATTATTCCCATCAATCATGCATATTGAATAATTGAAATTATCCTTTGGTGGAAATCATTTGCAATTAGTAGGAATATTTTAAAAAAAATAAGAGACAGAGTAAATTAAGGTATTATATTTAAAATCAAATCTAATCTTCTAATTAGCTCTTATGTTAAGACTAGAGGTAGTACGCATCCAATTCTTAATATAAGACCTAATTAATTAATTTGAGTAAACTAAAAATGTTAGTTAAATTATTTAATATGATACTCCTTCCAATTCAAAATATAAACTAAACTTTATTTATTTATATTTATCAAGAACTTAGTTAAAATTAGTTTAAAATAATAAATATGCAAAGCATATATTTTTTCTTTCCAAATATGCTCTTATTAATGAAGAGAATAAATAAAAGATACAATAAATGCATCAAAGAGGAAAAAGAATATATGTAGGACAAAATTTAAAAAAAAAAACCCATTAAATGTTTAGACAAAAGTGAATGTTGTCTTATAAAAAAAAAAACCCCTCCACCAAAATTTTGCTTATATTTTGAATAGGAGGGAGTATGTTTTTTTTTTCTAAAACGTGTCTTTTTTAATATCAACAAAGTTGATTTAAAAAAATTGATAAATATGTAAAATAAATCTTATCTTTATGATTAACATCAACTTTTCAATAGGCTCTAAATTAAGCACAGGAGAAGTATCAAGTTTTAGGAGCTACCTGGTGATTATATTCTCTTCTACTACGGTCAGCTTGGGGATCGAATCGTAAATAATTTTTTTATTAAAAAAAGAGCTAAACCGTACTCAATTTTTGGTGAAGGGTTCCTTTGGTTATAAAAAACAATTAGAATGCATTAATTAAAAAAACAATAAAATAGTATAACTATATACAAAAAGTAAAAGAGGGACAAGAGCTAAGAAATAAAATTAACCTAAGATCTAGAGAAAAAATTACTTGCATGCTGGTAAAAGTAAAAAAGGAAAGAAAGTTAACAATATTCATGTAGATGATATGGGAAGAGTTTGCAATAGTTCTTACTCCAAGTAAGTATCTCTTATTAATGCAAAATATTTGTAACTTTTCTTTACTATTCACTGAGCAAAATGGTGACCTGCAAATCCAAACAAGGTTAGCACAAAAATAAAAAATGCTAAAGAGATGATTTTGCCAAGAAGCTTTTTTCCACAAGAAATGTTGGATGGGTTAGCCTTGGCAACAAATTCGTGATTTGCATTTCAGTTATTTTTGAGGCTTGAATTTGTACATAATTATTGTCAATCTTTATTTGTTTGTGGAGATATTAACTTTTTGTAGCTTAGAGCTCTTTTTGACCGATGTTATAGTTTCACCATGCTCAACTCGAACTGCCAATTCAAAAAAGGATGAAACATTGTTGATCTCCTCAATGATAACATGCTGTGATGGTTTCCCTCCATTATGTAAAATGGCATTTTTATTCCTTTAAATGACACATCTTTATGCAAACTCTTAAGCATGGTTTTGAGCCAATTTTAGAACTTTACAAAAGAGAAGAATGGTAACTTGATATTAAGAACCAAATTGAACGAGTCAAATGACAAGAAATAAATAGATGTTCTAGAATCCCAGGAGCATTGCATGCAAAAAAAAAAAAAAGATTAGAGATATTGAGATGATGTTTGGTCAAAATATCACTTAAGAGAATTGCATCATTAAGGATCTTTCAGACTAATAATAAATTCTCCAAGGGAAGAGATATTGATCACAAAAATTTCCAAACTTGATCATTTGGATTAGAAGACATCATTTGTCTGCTAAGCCCGAATCCTTCCTTAACGAAGTAAGAACCCAAAGAGGGAAAACTCCAACACAAATTTTCAGGAATATTGGAATATGAAAAGGGTTAGAGATAATGAGATCAATTATCTGCACTTCATATAAATCTTCAACCAAGACCTTCCAAGGTCAGAAAACCAAGACCCTTTTTTCATGACATCGGGTTTTAATTGTTGGGCGAATACGATAATAGGTCTGCAACACATATTGCAGGCCTACATTGCATGGGGTCCAGGGTTCGTTGATAGCTAAGTAAAACAAACCTTAAATTGAAAAATTCAAGGCCACGTGAGAACCAGTTCACACCCAAAGGGGGAAACTGAAAACACGCACAAACAAACACGCCTTAAACTTCCCATCAAGTACGTTTTTTTTTCTTGCCATCTTCCCATCAAGTACTTGACCTCAGATCAGTCCTCGGTTAATTCCCGCTCGGGTTGTGAGTTGTGCGCACTGATATTTCTTTTCTTTCTTTCCCCCTCGTAATCTAGGCTGACAGCCTGACTTACAAAACTTGATATTAAATAGTTTGAGACAATAACTTAGAAGTTAGTAATCTGGCTATGATTAAACTGAAGTTCGTCTAATTATAATTAAAATAATATAATTTATTTAAAATATACAAAACTATTCATATATAATTACCAAAAAAAATTATATTTAAACAAAACGTTAAATCACAAGTAAGTAAAATATTTATATATGAATTACATATAATTGAAAAAAATAGACTAATTAAAACACAATTTCTACATATTGTTATTTTTTTAAAAAAGAAAACTCAAAATAATGTCCTTAACTTTAATGTATATTTCAATTATACTACCCCAAAACTCTTTTTTTTTTAAAAAATTTAATGGGTCAAATTTAATGGTAATTTTATTGTATCAATGACCTAACTGCAATTTCCTATATGATTAAATTATATTTTTACTATAAAAATTAGTTGACTAATTTAAATAGATTAAAAAAATTTACATAGTTAATTATTGTAATAATTAGATGTTATCTTTCTTAAAATACTCTTATTAATTATGTGTAGTCTAAAACTACTATTTAATTGAACGTTTAACATGTACAACTATTAGAATAATTATTTTAGAAAAAATAAATAAATATAAAAAATTTAAATTTTATATTTAAAATAAAATTAAAAATCAAATTAGTTTTTATATTACGTATGAGAAGAAGTAATTTACTGGATGTTAGATGATTATTTTGAACTAATTAAAAGTATTTTGATGTGATTAGAAAATTTGGATTTTCCACCGGCCGCCACCAGCATCTTCCACAAGAATATTGCGGATGGGTCCCGGGTCCCCGTGGTTGAGACTTCAGATTAAGAAAGAAACCTCACGAAATCCTTTTGTGTGTTGGGTTTGACCATCGGAAATTCGGATTTAGGATCAACCGGGTTACCGGAGTCCTTTTAAATTTTTTTTTTTTTTTCAATTGTCGCAAAGGAGTAATCTGATAATCGCCAAAATAATATATTTCCATTGCACAAGAAATGGGTGTGCAATGACAGTAAAACCCTTCCGATACTTTCCCTGCACCAGAGTCTTGGTCCTCTTTGCTTTCCCTCCTCCTTTCACCGGTCAACGACGAACGAATGCGAAAGCGAAACCTGTTGGGGAGAAGATGACAAATTATGAAGCCAGATAATAGATACACATATATGTACAAATACGCAAGGACGGACATGGGGTTTACGTCACAGTCCACCATTGCTTGCTTCGCCGGTCTTTCTCTTTCCCTCCCTCTCTCTATATTCCATGTGTGCGTTCTCTCTCTTCTTCATCCTTGTGTCGCACTTCCCTTGGAGCCCCACTTCCTTATTTTTTTAAAATCCTCCCACGCTTAGCCGCCTTTCTTGTTGGCTCTCTCTTTCTCCCCCTCTCTTCCAGCTCATGATATTTTCCGCTTCAACCCATTTTCAACTATTTGGGCCCAGAAATAGCGTTCCTCAGATCTTTTTCATATCAGCTTTAATTCCTTGGTGTTGAGTGGGGATTTTGCTTGTTTTATCGTGTGAATTCGAGGTTTTGGTGAACTAGGTGTGGCTTGTTGTTGTGGAATTTGATAATTCTTGACGTGGTTTGGATTCCTAGCTGTGGTAGTTACTGGTTGCTTTGGGTTTTATTCTTTCCTGGTTCAATTGGGTGAATTGGGTGTTCAGGGGATAGCTTGAATTTTGGGGGGACTATGAAGAATTGAATTCACTGAGTGCGTTGAAGAACGTTGCTGTCTAGACAACGTCGCAGGCGTGAAATTCAATTATTAAGCTCTTTTATTATTCCATTATCAGAATTTCAATTGCGGGTTCCTCTATGCTCGTTGGGTTCCAGAGGGCTTTATTTGTTCTTGGCGGCCATTGCGAGAAATTAAAACCTCCTTTCGTGTGGCAATTCGCGGTTTTGTCTTCGATCGCCTGTTAAATTAGTTGGGCTTATTTCCCTTGTTCAGTTTGGTGAATTGGCCTAAAAATTGGTTTCAGCTGACTATCTTTCTGATATCAACTTACTTACCTTATTCTTTTTTAATGTCATGAATATGTGAAACCGAAAGTTACTGGGGTTTGAAGTTTTAGCTGATAAAAATTCTTCAAGGCTTAAGTTTGGACTTTTCAACTCTTATATTCTTCCTGATCAGGAGTCTCCTGCTCATTCTGGGTAATTCTACGTATCAACAACCATATTGCTTCCTGGTTGTCAGCTGACAGAGAAATGCTTTTACTATTTATTAGTACTCTAAAGTGCAAAAGGATAACAATATCTAGTTAAGTATGGCTATCCCCGCATTATTCTTGACGCTATTGCTGCAACTGCCTAGCATTTTCGCGGCTGGTTCTTTCTTACAGTCAACTGATTGTGGTCCTAATTGGGTAGCTTACTCATATTCTCCTGGCGAGGAACTTTACTACATGAACGATAATATAGTGGACAGAGTTACCTTCTGCAAGACCCTCCAACTGTATATTGCCAATGGTTGTGATTTGAAGGACTACTTTGAAAGTGGCAACTGTGCCTTGGATGTTGTTACAGGTATGGATCAATAAGGGATATGTTTGACAGTTTGAGTATGGTCTGCGTTAGATTTCACAATTGGAAACAACTGTTCTTTAACATTTAACTTGGCTTTTATTATTTGCAGTTAATTTGCCTTCAAAGGCAGGAAGAAAACTTCTGCAGAAGGATTTAAACAATAATTCCACATCTCAATCCCGCCAAAATGTTTCCAAGAATGTGTCAGTGCCTCATGTTGGTATAGTAGCAGGTGGAGCTTTCTTAGTATGTTGTGCAGCTATCTGTCCTTGTATCTATGGGAGAAGACGAAAAGCCACTACTCATGCTGATTTGACCAAGGACACGCATTCAGGTGAGTTGACATTTATGATTTTGGGGTGTACCAACGTGGACAATTTGATAGATATAGTTTGTTGTCGTTGTTGTTATAAGATTTCATTTTGCTTTATATATCTGTATATTTACTGTTTTAGATTGTTGCTCCTGTGATATTTGAATAACAAAATAATATACATTTTTGCTTTTGTAGTTGATTCGGCTTCCCCCTTTGAAGTAAATGCTATGTCTGAAAAGGTGCCTGCGAGTCCACTTCGTGCGCCACCTAGTCCTTTAAGATTCTCATTGTCCCCAAAACTAACTAGAATTGGGTCACTACATCTTAACTTGAGTCAAATTGTAAGAGCTACGCATAATTTCTCAGATAATTTTCAAATAGGAGAAGGTGGTTTTGGAACTGTCTACAGGGCTCAGCTTGAGGATGGATTGGTTGTGGCTGTGAAACGTGCCAAAAGGGTAAGGAATAGCGCAGTATTAAATTACGATCTTGTAATCCATAGGGCCTCTGCTCTGTGCAGTAAAGTTCTAGGGCTCTGTTTTGCGAGTGATATTGGATTTCAATAATACTGCATTATGGACTTTGTTGTCCAATTTTAACCTCTGAATGTTGAATTCGGTAAAACCATCTTTAAGTCAGGCGTGCATGCAACTATTATGGGATCGCAATGAAAATATAAGGGAAATCATTTATCTAATTATGGTTGATTTGATGTGGAATGATCTCCAGTCTGGTTGGGGATGATTTTTTATTTGTTGTGAGGAGTCAGTGTTACCATGTCACCCAATGCTTTTTATATAAAGTCAGGTGCGAGTGTGAATCATTGTGCCCTTGTATTGCATGGTTCAAATAGGGGGGAAGTTAATGTAGTTTCATGGCTAACAATTGCATTCAGGCATTTCTAAAGCAGAATAGCTGAGGCACTGCATTTCATTATTGAATTTAAAGCCATTTGTTTTACAGCATTATTGACTTCCTCATCCTTTTCCAATAATAACCTTTGGATTGGAGTGGTTCAAACCATCTTCACTTCAAAGTTCTAGGAAGTGTACTATATCTAATTTCTCACCATTTGATGCTTGAGTTTTTTATACTATCAATCATGGTCGTCAGGAAACTAACTTTGCATTTTAAACTTTGATGTTTGAAGTATCTCCTCTCTTTATGTTGACCATATTAAATTAATCGCACAGGAACTTTTTGAGGCTTTGAGAACTGAATTCAGCAGTGAGGTTGAAATCCTGGCCAAAATTGATCATCGAAACTTGGTGAAGCTACTAGGTTATATTGACAAAGGAAATGAACGCCTTCTTATTACTGAGTATGTGGCAAATGGTTCTCTTAGAGAACATTTGGATGGTAAGATCTTGCACCCTTTTTTTGTCCAATGATTATCTTTGGATATAGAAGCATTATAATATTCCCTTGATATTACTGGCAGGTCTACGTGGAAATATCCTAGATTTCAATCAGCGCCTTGAAATTGCTATTGATGTTGCTCATGGCCTGACCTATCTGCATACATATGCAGGTCAGAAAACCCTCCATTCTACTTTTTTTTTTTAATCTTCTCTGTGTACAAGCCGAAGGCAAGAATTTTATCAGATGACTGGAGTATAAATGGGTGCAGTGAAGTGTTAAATCATAAATAATCACTTTAAGTATCACCATATGCTGTTTGTATATTGGAGAAGTGCTATCTATTGTCAGGATATTGTTCAAATAATGACTTTTGGTATCTTTCAGTGAATTTCCTCCTTTTCCCTTTTAGGTTTGCCTTCCCTGCATGCTGAAGATGTCTTAAGATTCCTGATTAATAGATGTTTTATTTACTTCTTTTTTTGGGCATTGTCATGGATTTTTTTTTTTGGGTGAATTTTATGGATGTTTTATGTTACTGATGATTATGTCATTTTGACATATCCATTCCAAAGGTTACTTGAGTCTTGGATGTTTATAAATCCGTCAATTTATGACTGACATTTTTCTTATCTGTGAACAGAAAAGCAGATTATCCATCGGGATGTGAAATCATCCAACATTCTTCTGACTGAAAGCATGAGAGCCAAAGTTGCTGATTTTGGATTTGCGAAGCTTGGTCCCACAAACTCTGATCAGACACACGTTTCAACCAAAGTTAAAGGAACAGTTGGTTATTTGGACCCTGAGTACATGAAGACATACCAACTCACTCCCAAGAGTGATGTTTACTCATTTGGAATTTTGCTTATAGAAATTGTGACAGGCCGCCGTCCAGTGGAGTTGAAGAAACCAGTTGAAGAGCGGATTACATTACGATGGGTAAACTGATGTCTTGTTCTTATTTTACATGAATTTCTCATTCTGTTTCTCTCAGTTTTTCTTTTAACCTAAAGTGCTTGTTGTCTGTTTCAACTTTGAAATACATCAGAAAAATGAAATAGTATTCTTGGCAGATGGGAATCATTGACATGGTTAGGTAGACTTCTTCAATTCAAAACGATGCATCATTTGATGTGAAAATCAATCAATGGAAGAAATTCTTGACGAAAACATTATATGTGCATATTGGTAGAGACTTAAATAAACTACTACGAGAGTATCGTGGACACTGATTACTTGTGAAATCTCTGGTTTTCCTAGTTTGGCCTGTTTCAACACTATTTTTTTTTTTTTTTTAAAAAGCTAACTTAGGTTTGCTTTTGGGCACTCAAGTTATGTGGTAGTGATCAATTTGCAGGCGTTCAGGAGGTTTGATGAAGGAAATGTGCTCGCATTGCTGGATCCTGCAATGAAGGAAAGTGTAAATACAGAGGTTGTCATGAAGATGATCGAGTTGGCAATTCAATGTGCAGCACCAGTTCGAGCAGATCGACCTGGCATGAAATCAGTGGTCCAGCAATTATGGACCATAAGAGCAGAATACCTCAAGGGTTCAAGGAGAGCATAGCCTCTGAAGTTAATTGGAGATTGATACTGTGAAAAAGTTAGATGCTGTTTACTTCTTTTCTTTTCTTCTTTGCTTTTTTGTTTCAACCTGTGAACTGAACAACTTGTCCTCTTTGTGCTGTGAAGTGAAGTTTGTTTTTCATTTGGGTCTTCCTTTAAATGATTGTATCTGCGAGATTATGGCGTGGTTCCTTGTCTTGCATGCTAACTTTGGATGTGCGTGATTCCAAACGTTTGTTCCAGATTTTGCTTCAGTCAGTGTTATGGCTTTTATACTGCTGTTTGGGCATGGGGCTATGGTGCATGGTGGAACGCTACAATTCAGCTGTTACGTATGAAAACATCTGTAGGAGGCTCCCTTAGTTTAGGGCTAACAGAAGCTCAAATCTAAATTAGTTGTAAATTGAGGGACATAGCGATAGGTTCATATATTGTGGACACCGATCCATCATGCTCAAAGAATTATGAAAGTTTAATTTTACATAAGGAGGCTTGAAACCTGATAAGTAGATACGTTTCGTCGTACAAAGATATAAATGAAATGGAACCAGCATTAACGTTGCTAGTGGCTAACCAATGAATCTACGTACAGTTGATTGTTGAGGGTGAGTAAGTGACTACATTTCATCTTGGAGTTAATGTGATTTTTAAAAATTTACAATTATTATTCTTATATATATATATATATATATATATATATTTCAAGCACAAGTATCTTCTTGGAGGAAGCTATTCTCTTGTTGGAATCAACCGTATTAAAGGTATTGTTAGTACCTAAATATGGATTCAAACTTTAATTTATTATGTTGTGGAGGACTAAATTTTTTTGTTAGATTCAATTCTGTTGGTACTATTCCTATAATTTTGAACCTACTAAATTCAGACTAAAATGAGTCACAAAAAAAAAAAAGCGGTTTTACGCGGGATGAGGTTGCTGCTTGTGATGGTTTGTTAAGAGACCATAATGTACTTCTGTCTTTGCTTTCTCTCATTATCTGGGCGTATGTTATGCTTTAGAAGCTGAAGCGTGGGGAATTTTTCATGGCCTTCGAATTGCTTGGTCCAAAGGTTTTAAAAGTCAGTCTTCCTTAAAATCCTTTAATCGAAGCTTTGTTCTCGGAATATTTGCTTTAGACATGTTTCTAGGATTATAATACTGTTTTTTGCCATTTCTAGGATTATAATACTAATTCTCATGCTTAAGCTTTGGCAAAATAATACTCCTCCGGTCCTTATTATAAGACCCAATTTGACTTTTTATTTGGTCCTAATTATAAGACCCAATCCATTTTGTCTCTTATATTTATGTATTTTTTTCCAAGATAATCCTTCTAACAATGATAGTTTTAGCCAATATACTTAATTAGCAAGGATATTTTAGGAATGACAACACTTATTTATTATAAATAATCAACTTAACTTACTTCCTTAATCTCCTCAAATAAGTCAATTGGGTCTTATAATTAGGACCGGAGGAGTAATAATAATAATGCTTATGCTTTAGCACACTATATTGCCCGTTCTTAATTTGATCATGATTCTACTAATGTCAGCATAAGGAATCTTGTTCATATTGTTGTACTTGGAATCTATTCCCACATATTTGCTTAATTTGTTTAGGGCACCCTCTTTTCCATTAAAAGAAAAAGTGACTAATAGGCTACTTCCCTCGAAGAAAGCCAGTGGAAAGTGACAGAGTAGTTAGCAAAGGCCGTGTGAGGAATGGTGTGCCAGAACAAAATACAATTGCGTTGCTTTATTCCCAAGAACATTATTATAATCTTAAAAAACAATGAGAATTTATTAAATACTCCATGCACTATACTATTGACTATATTAATTGATGAGATAAAACCATATTATGGAGGATAAGTAACCCAAAACTTACACTTCTCCGGATCTTAAATATAATGCACATTTAAAAATTAGAAAAAATTTAGATCAAGTTGTTTATATTTGTTATATTAAATTCTTTGATCGCACATGATCATATGTCTTTTTTTTCCTTTTCTTTTCATGTAAATTTATAATTAAATACTACTACCTCTAGTTCTAATCATAAAACCTTGTTTGTAGGTTACGAATAAAGTCTTAGAATTAGGATCAGAGGTAGTATTAAATGCTATAATTTCTAATTTATAAGAGGGGTATTTTAAAAAAAAGTGTCATAAATTATTTACATATTAATTGCAAATAATCAAATTATTTTTTAAAAAAGTTTTATACTTTCAGTTACTGTTTCATATTTATATTAGTTACTTAATCCTACGTGATTAAATGGAAGTATTGCTATTTCTTAACATTATAGGGAAGCTGTTTCTTCTTCGTCATGTTCCTTTTCACAAAGCGTTCAAGGAACCTTCCATAAAATACATCGCCACACATGCACGACAAATTCTATATTTTTTGAGGTTGTTCGATACTATACCTTTCGTTTTCAGCCAACCCATTTTCTTCCCAACTTTCTCTGACTCACATTTCTTGCATCTTAATTATCACTTGATTGTGCTTCAGTATATTTCAAATTTATCCCCTGATTAAGGTATTTAAATGAGAATTTCTTTTCTTGCTCTTTTTTAAATAATACCTTCTATTCTCAATATAAGGTCTAATTTATAATGTAATACTAAATATAACAGTATCTAGTTTACAACGTTACAAATAGTATATTTCTTTTACAGCCTAGCACATGTAATTCCTCGCGTTCACTCTCGTCACGTGAACAGCATCACCCATTTTGAAGTTCAATCGCCAACCGCACATACTTATTCGGCTTTTTTTTTTAGCACATGCATTTCTTCCATCTTTTGTGTTGCTTCCAAACTGGATCCATTAATTGTTTTTTCCCAACCAATGGGATTGAGTCTAGCGAAAAGGATTAACCCCTCATAATATGACAAATCAAGATTCAAGTTCCAAATTATTTCCAATAAAATGATACTTACATTTAGTGTTCGACAGTACCTCGAATATAATCACTTTCAATAAAGTGATACTTACATTTAGTGCTCGACAATACCTCTAATAGAATTACTTCCAATAAAAAGATATCTAAACTTTAGTTAAAAAAAAACATGTGTTTTTTCCCAAATAAGCAAATTCATCCGTTTCTTTTTAAAAGACAATGTTTTTTAATTAATCAGGAGAGAATGAGTAAAGGAGAATAGAATGTTTAATAAAAGGTATTTATGAAAAGATAAAACAGTTTTAAAGACAACAATTAGTTTTTATTGGTTTATGTAAAAAGAAACAAATAGGCAAAAATGTGAGAGGGTTTTTTGGGCTAAAAATGAGAGAAAATATATCTAATATTATTCATAAGTTTGTATCAATTTATCATAATTCTCTAGATATCTAATATTATAAAGTAGGCGCATATATTTGTTGAATACTTTTAATATAATTAAATCTGAATATTACAGTTATATTTTGTGTGTCAAAATCTGAATATTATAGTTCAAAATTATTTGTACAAGAGAATATTGAGCCGGCCGCCCACACAAAGAAATTAAAGCATGAAAAGATGACTTCCGTAGGTGAGTTTGAGACAATAGATTTGCCCGCCTCAACAACTTTGATCGCAACGGCACCAACAACAACCTCCCAACGCAGCGCTTACCACACCAATCTCCTTCCTCTTCCTACACTCATCGCAACCACTCTGCGTTCTCTCTCGTTCCTTCAACGCCTCCTCTCTCTCTCATCAAATCCACCGTTGTTAGGCACGCTTTCCACCAACCTCTTTGCTTCTTTCTCACGTTTATTCTCTCCCGAAGCCACGCGCATGGCGTTCCTTGTCGGCCTCGTGCTCGGAATCGTCGTCGGCGTTGCTCTCATCGTCGGATTCGCCCGTTATGAGAATGCTAGATCCAAGCTCCGGTCTGAGCTTGCTGAAACGATTGCCGCTTTGGCCCGGATGACCGTTGAAGATTCCAGGAAGATCTTGCCTCCTCAGTACTATCCTTCTTGGGTTGTCTTTTCTCAGAGGCAAAAGTTGAGCTCTCTGTCCCCTGTTTTTCTTGCTGACTGTTCTGCATTTGACGGTCTTTTGATCAATGGGAGCTGAGACTGACATTTCCGATATTTGTTTATTTATTTTTAATGTCTTCAGTTGACTTGGCTGAACTCACATCTAACTAAGATCTGGCCCTATGTTAACGAGGTAACTTCTGTGGCATTCAACATTCAGTTCCTGAACAATGTTGGATTTAGTATCTATAACTCTATGGATGTGACTAGCTTTTCGTAAATCGGGTTCTAGGCTGCTTCTGAGCTCATAAAGGCATCCGTGGAACCAATTCTCGAACAATATAGACCGGTGATTTTGGCCTCATTGAAATTTTCGAAGTTCACTCTAGGTACAGTAGCCCCACAGTTTACAGGTGAGCTCAACTTTGAGTCAAATGACTTTATGAGTTCAGTTAATCAGGCCTTCGTTAAGTGCCATTTACTGATGTCGTCTCCCGCTTTTGTGTAATTAAAATAATTAATGGACTACATTATCGTGATGTTATACATGCTTATTTGTTGATTCACGGCTTTGCCACCTGGAAACGTGCTGTCATTTTTAGTTTTCTCTTTGTTCTTGTTAGGATTCTTTGCCGGATCCTCTTACCAATAGGTGTTTTAGATGTCATTGGAGAATCTAATGTTTGAAGCCATTGATTAGGAGTATCTATAATAGAAGATGGAGGGAGCGGCGTCACAATGGAGTTGGAAATGAATTGGGATGGGAATCCAAGTATTGTACTTGATATTAAGACACTAATTGGTGTTGCACTGCCAGTACAGGTACTCATGAACTTCCTGAATCACCTCTGCTTTCTCATTTCGGCTATCTGATTAGAAATGGATTGATAAGGATTATGCCATGAAAGTTCTCTCTGTCGTTACCTGTAAGAAGTCCAAGATAACGAGGCCAAAGCTTGTCTTTTCCATTCCATCAGACTATAGTAACTTGTAAATTCAATTACGTCCGAAGTCTTATCCATTGAGTTTCAGAGCTGATCGCAAACCTGAGACTTACTGGTTCTTTTATTGTTTACATTTCAGTAATTAGATTCCAATCTAACATATTTATTAATATAAGTGAAATTTATAATTTGAAGCTTCGCATCTGTGGAATCAAAGGT